CCATCGTTTGTTTCGACCGCACCTGCTGCTGCAAAGAAATGATTGGAGGAGAGGCGAGAGCCCGTAAAGTCCGCTAATCCTTTATGATGTGCTACGATGGTATCCGGTCCTAGGCTTCCACATCCTCAAACAACTGCTGCGGGATCTTCATCCAGCGACGTGTGCTTAAGAAGTTTTTAGAACGACGAGCGCGCAAACTCCAGGATTTCAGGGAATTGTTCCTGCACAAGCACCGTTCTTCAGGGCGAAAGGTTTCCGGAATGCTGTTGAAGATGTTCTCAACATCGCATCTCATCTCTCTTGTGCTCGAAGCATGGTAAAAGGCGCTCATGTCGTGTTGAAAGCAACCTGGCGCAGGTGCTGCAAGACATTGTGGAGCTTGTAGGCGCAGAGCTTCTGAAACAGGGACCGCAAGCAGTAACTTCGCCGCAGTAGGCTTGGTGCATCTTTGTGCCGTCGTGTTATCGGTTCGCACGCATGGTGGCCACAGGTAACTATGCTGCAGACCTGTCTGGGCGCTCCATCCGCAGAGGCCTCTTGAGCAGAACCGTTTTAACAGTGTGATGTGATATGCAGTGGTGGCATTTGCTCTGCCGTGGGCACGCCTGCAGGTCCAAGGAGCGGCTGCCCGATTAGCTTTGCAGATGGTGTCTCGGCGGCCACCGCAACTTCTGGTATCGACATAGCCACTGCCACTGGCTCGTCAGGTCGAAGACTTGGAAAAGGACGTGACGGGCCCTATAGGCTGCCGGCTCATCAGATCGCAGCCAGCAAAACCCCCACTGCAGTCGGCTTAGGCGCATTAATGCCCACCGTCTTTACAGTCATGAAGGGCTTCGCCGTGGCATCGGAGCATGAAGAAGCTCGGCCCGGAAATGAGCGAGCTGTGGCGAGCTGTTTCCGCAGCATGAGAGATCACTATCAGGAGATTCTGAAGGAAACTCTGGAATCCTTGATCTCGGCAGCCGATGAGGCCTGGGATGGCGAAGACATAATTGCCTCCGATGCCCCAAGCGCAGGAGCCAGAGTTTTTCAAGGAGAACGGTCTGCAGCAAGTCTGGCCACTGCTGCTGGAGATGTGTGCCCTGACGTCCTGAAAAACAGTTCCTATCTAGCCAAGGAGAGGCGTTGGTTTCAGGTGACTTCATCGCACTGAGGCAGAGCTGACCACTGGGGTGATGCACAAGTCCGACATAGTGGCAAGACGGCACCACTCAGTCTGTTTTCATGTTGTTTCGGTTGACGTTGAAGGGGGCTTTCGAAGTCTGAAGTGAGCTTTGCTGACGGCTGACAAGGTGCCATGGAAGCGGCGATGTCCTTCTTTGAGGGTCTTTGCGCGGACTTCTGCAAAGCTGAGGCCATCCTTGAAGAAATTCTCCCAGAATGGAGCTTTGAGCTGTGATGACTTTGATGAATTGTTCTATGAGTCAGGGCCAGCCATTTCTGGAGCAGCTGATTTTGCTCAACCTGGAATGGATGTTAGAGGTTGAAGAGAATGTGGACACCTGGACTTCGAGTGCCGACAAGGACTGGCCGGAGTCTTCTTTGCTGTTGCGCGGAAGATCAGCACAAACCTGCGCAGGAAAGCGGACAGAAGTTCAGAAGCTTTACGTCAAACCCAAATGCTAAACCCCTAAATTTAAATCCTAAACCCTGAACCCGAAATGCTGTAGCAGGCAGCATTCATCTTCTCATCACGTTCTTGGGCCCAAGCCAGGAAGACGAAGATGAGTTGGACGACGATCTCGTGGGTATCGGTGAAGAAAATCTCGACCGAATGGCCCAGCAGTGTGCAGAAAAGGTGTCTCTGCTTGTGAATACGATTCTTTCACTGATCCACCTTGCCGCCTTACACTCGTCTCTTGCATCAGCCACGTTCTCACGGCAAAACGGCTGGACCCGCCTTCTTTTGCTCCCCCTTCTGTGTGGCCCCCGTGACAAACCCATCAGCTGAGCCCAGGAGGCTCTCGAAGAGGCCTTTATGCCAACTCTCTTCAAGGTTCTCAGAGCAGAGCCTTGGCTACATTTGTGTAAAGATGCCAAGCCTTTTCCGGGAACCTCCCGCTGCGCAGATATGAGCTGGTCTGAGCTGGTTCGCAAGAGCCAAGAGGATGCTGAGAGGGCTTTCTTGCTGTTTTGCTTTTGTGGGTGTGTCGAATGGGGCTGGCTGCTTTCCGTTCCAAGCAAGGCACGACAGTACTTAGTAGAGTCTGCCGGGACACGCAGATCTTGAAGTCTCGCGAAGTCGGTGGGTTTGCCTCGCAAGCGGAAGTCAAGCGGCTCTTTGTCAGCTGTCATCCTTGGCAGCAAGGTTTTAGCTGCACCCACCAGCACCTGGAAGCACGTGAGATCCTGCGTGATGGCAGTGTCGCAGGCAAGGGCAGAAACTTCAATCCGAATTGTTACACCCTGCTTTCCATTTCATGATGTTCCATGCCATGTGGGCAAGCCTCTTGATTGCCATCTGCCTGCAGGTCGTGGAGTATATCGAAGAGGAAGCCTGGGTGGACCAGTGACTCGGTTGGATAAAGTGGACCTGTGCGAGAACAATACAGAACGATGCTTAATGAATCCAGCTTCAAGAAGCCCGAACATGAGCAGTCATCACGTCTGCGTGCTCCCTCCCGTCTCCCCTCTCTCCCTTCCCATTCCCCTTTCCCTGCCCCTTGCCCTTCCCCTTCGTCATTCCTTCCCCTTCGCCTTCTCCCCTTCCCCTCCCTCCTTAGCTTTGTCATTCTCTCGACTGCAAATTTGCAGCATCATGCCAGGCAATTGCCATGAGCAGCGACCGCGTCACTGAATCTCATCACCAGCAGCCAAGGTGCATAGACTTTCTGGTCCCGCATACATCTCATGCACATCCTCGAGTTCGGTATTCTGCATTCACAGCCGTCGGCCAGACGGCCTATGACCATGACCCGTACGTAGCTGAGAGCCCCGCCTGCACATTGACATGCACTTACATGGCCAGAAAACACTTTCCCGCTACGAAGAGCTTTCCTCCGAGGACCCACGCGGAGACTGTGCTGCCGCTGATCTTGTCGCTGCCTTAACTCCAAGGGATGTGCGCAGCCGCCATAGCCCTCGTGGCAGCACTGACTCCTGAAATTCCTGATTAAGAGGGGCAAGAGCGATTGGACTAGGGCCTAGGGCCTAGGGGATCCGTTGCTGATGCTCCTTGGAGGACTTGATTTGCAAGAGCCATCAGGCAAACGTTAAATCAGCTAAGGGCTGGATTAGATGACAGCAACATTCGCGTGGCAACAAGCAGCGCGAGCGCCCTTGCCAGCATGGAGGAGGGGGATCTTCTGTACCTGAAATCCCTCCGAGACGGAGACCCTTGATGCCGGCTTAGGGCAGTCTGATCTTCAAACCAAACCGAGGAAGCTCGCATAGCTTCCCCGAGCTCCCGTAAAAGCATCCGCCAGGTCCCGTTTCGTGACACTTTGAGGACACCCGTCACTACTTTCATCACTAACAGTCAGCAACAATAGCTAAAATTCATGGAATCGTGACCGTACTGGCAGTGCAGAGCCATGATAGATTTAGCAACACTAACAAGAGTGCCGTCAACCATTGTAGCGATCAACATGTTTCGTTCAACAGCAGCAACAGGAAGTAACAAGTACCCCGTGGTGGTCTTGGGATGATGCCACAAGTCCAGCCGGAAGACGTCTGGCGTGGCCACGACGGCAGTGAGATTCACATGGCAAGACAAACAGAAGTAGTGTAGCTACATGACTACCATGCAATCATGTCGGACGGACAGGCAAGCAGTATTCCTTCTTAGGGAAGTTTACAGCTGTGGAGACATGTACCCTTCACTGGTATTGTTGTCACCAGTGCTTTTGCAACTCTTGTTGCTGCTGTTATTCCTGTGGTGTCGTGTCAACCACTATGTCGCAGAGAGCCAAGCTCAATGAAGCAGGACATGGATGAAGAAGACCTCGAGCCCCACATGCAAGAGTTGAAGCTTGGCGGAAGTTATGGAATTTGGCATGCCCAGAATGCCAACGAGAGAATCCAAAAGTCCCATGCTCAAGCAAAATCAATGCCGCAGAAACATGACAGAGGTGGATGGCAGAGGTTTTGAAAGGCAATTCTTATCAGTTTCAGATTTTCAGATGAGCATTGTTCGAAGCAGATAGGCTTTGATCGAGCAGCATCAGCCGTTAGAGGAGGCCGTGGTGCCCCGAAGCAGGGTCGTGCGAGAAATGATGGAAAGGTCAGTTCTTGAACCGTGCAACTTGCCCAGTGCTTGGTCTAAGTTAGAAGTCGGTGTGCCAGTACTGATTTAGCTGTAGATGCACCTCGTGATCTGAACGGTGCGATCCAAGTCATCGTTTCCCTTTGAGTTGAAGCCCTTGCTTGACATGTAGTGGTGTTCCATCGGTTGTGTTGATGCAGCCTAGCAGCAGTGCAGTCGAAATTCTGCTGCAGTCGAGCGGCTCAGGCTGGCCATGCTCTGCATGGTCGGAATAGACAGATCAAGATCACAATGTGTACCAGAGTAACGGAGTTATTCGCCCGGTCGTGGTTTCGTGTGACTGCACATGCACAGCGATGACAATTGCGAATCCTGCCGGCAAGTGCAGCCCAAGGATGACAAAGCTCTTCACCCGCCTCAAGCACAGCCAATCGCAAGCAATGCAGGAGACTTGCCTTTCAGCCGCTCGCCTTGTATGTGGATCTTGTTTCAGGCCCTGTCTGACTGGTGCTTCATGTGCCAAGATGAAGATGCCCTTGCGGGAGAGTGGAGGGCTTCGAGAAACTGAGGCCATTGCGGTGGTGGGAGAAGCTGCGTCTGATCTTTTCCTGCCCTACTACAAGGAAATTATGCCACTGGGCTCGTTCAGGATTTCCAGGATCCCTTAGAGTCAATGCAGTTCATGTCAGTGTGTTTTGCTCCTTTGTCATGGGGTTCATGGTCGAACATGGATGTTGAGGGGGTTCGAAGCAGGACAGAAGACGAGTGCCGAGCATCGAGTGTTCTGCCTGCTTTTCCAGGTCAGCATGGAGGTCATGTCCCTTAGAAGATGCGCTGTCTGATTTGCTGAGGCCCGCGCTGAAGGAGCTGATTGCAAACTCGTCCAAGGATCATCAAAAGAGTTTGCGTGGCAAAGCCTTCGAGTGTGCCTTGCTGAGATATGCTTGGACCCAACAGTGGTCTTGGACGTCAATGTATACTGCCATCCTGGAGTGGGGCATTCGGGCTGTCTGCAGAATACGAAGGTGCCAGCCTTCTCGGAGAAGGAGTCGGCAAGGACCTCGACCTTAGGTGTGCAGAAGAGTCACGGGAGCCACGTTGCCTGGCAGAGGATTTGCCACGTACATTGCACTGTGAGGACGCCTTCGTGGACGATGCGCATGGCATCATGCAGATTATGGTGCACTACATCCAAGCTGGCTTCGAAGCAGATGACCAGACGAGGGAGTACGTGCATGAGGCTGGACTCTTCTTGAAATTGATTTCGGCATGTGCCGTGCGCCTAGCGGTCGCGGCAACGCCTCCGTCTCCCGGTCATGCCCTCGTAGACGTCTTTCGGAGCATCTTTGGGCCAGTAGGTAAATGGGTCGACACGAAACCAAAGCTCTTGGCGTGCGAGGCCGCTGGGCGGGTGGCCGGCGTGTTGGGCAAGGATTTCAAGCCCTACATGTGGCTGGGCAAGGTTTAAATCGTTGAGCTTCCCGCATGATCTCGCCCGGTCATCACGAATCTGCTTGAAACCCCCGGACCGTGCGCCGTGCGCCGGCACTAAACTGCTCCAGGCCTGCACTGCTCCCGAGCCTCCTGAAGGTCTTGCAGCAGCAGCCGAAAGAGGTGCCATGGCGCCCCGAGGGCTCTGTCTGTGGGCATTTTTTGCTACGCAGGTGCCAGCCTGGCCAGTTCCCGAAGACGACGACGAGTTCACCCAAGTGCTGAGTGACGGCAAGCTTCCTTTCTGCAAGCTAGCAGAAGTCGCTGGCGCCGATGGCTCACAGAAGAGATGAGGCTTCTGGGCTTGAAGACAGCGGTGCTGGACGAAATGGGGGAGACACTGCAGCTGATCACCTCGCTCATGGAGGTGGCTTCTTTTCTGCGCAAGCTGGCCAGCGGATGCACACCGCCAGTGCTGCCAAGGCCTTGGAGGAGGAATTTGTGGAATTCCTCCCCGCTACCTGTCACCAGTTGCTGGAAACCTAGAGTGTGGTTTCAAGCTCTCGTAGCTTTGAAGAGATCTGATGATGATGATGATCCCGAGATGCCTGAATGCCGTGTAGGTTGTGCATGATGATGATGATGATGATGAATATTGGACAGCAGCTACTGTTACTGTGGGAGGTTCTCGAAGGATGCGCGAAGACCGCTTGGGTTCCGGGGTCTTCGGTGAAGCGGGGCGGGTGTGGCAAAAGATGCTCGAAAAGAGCAGCAATCCTTCGAAAGGGACTCCAGGATTGAGAAACAGGGGGTTAAAGAGGAGCAAGAGCAAACCGTTCGAAGCGGACTAGAGGAGGTGAAAGGAGCAGACCGGTCGAAATGGACGAGCGACTAACGATCGGAAGGGATGAGACCGCTGGAAAGGGAGTCGATACCTTGCCGAGCGACGTGAGCTAGAGAAGTTGGAAAAGAGGACAACACCGCTTGGCAGGGATTTGCTGAGTCTGAGCAGGAGAGCAGCACGAAAGGTGTGCGATGACTTGAGCATACAAATGGGGCTAACCAGGACAGCAGCTGGGACGGGATGAGAGCATGTGAAAAAACTGGAGTTAAGGGACAAGCAGAATTGAACAAGTATAAGCAGAGGTGCAAGCCTCTCGAAAGGGACGCAAACCGCAAGGAAGGGGCTTGGCTTGGGAATGAATGGAGCAAACCACTCGAAAGTGAGATGGAGTCTTTGGCACGGGAACGAACCGCCCGAAGAGGACTAACGAAACCGAGAAAGACACTGCCCGAAAGCAGAAGAGCGAATCAGCAAACAGGGACTAAAGGAGATTGGAAATGGAGCAAACCCCTCACCTTGGACGAGAAGTTGATGAAGCGGAACAAAACGCTCGAACGTGGACACAAGAAGGAGCAGTCGCAATCCTTCCCAGAAGGAACCAGAGGATTTGAGCAAGATTCGCATTTGCCCAAGAGGTAATGAACTGAGCAGGAGGAGCAGACCGCTCGAAGCGGATCATACCTTGTTAAGGAAAGGAGACAATCTGTTCAAAAGAGTGGAGTAGAAGTGGAGAACCGCTCTCACAGGCACCGCAGAATTTATCAGCAGGAGGAGCAAACCGCACGAAAACAACTCGAGATGTTGAAAAAGAGGCACGCATGCACTGAAGGCATATTAAAGAATCTGAGAAAGAAGTGCCATCTTTTCGAAAGGGTGCGAGAAGGGGGAGCAAGCCACGAGGGGAAGCTCGGAAAAGAGACAACCGGCTCGTATAGCCAGCTTCCAAGCCCCGGTAAAATTTCTCAGAAGTGGCATTGAATCCATGACTTGTAATTGCCGCATGTGGTGCGTGCAGTTGACATCTTGTGGAGTGCAGCCAGGACCAAACCTGGGTTCGGCGTCTTTTTTTCCTCGCTTCTATCCTTGTGCACTGTTGGTATCGGCTTTCTGGGCCCGGTTCCTGCGCCCTCGGAGCACCAAACCTGGCTCTGAGTTCCGGTCCGGCAGACTCGGGAGAGCGGGAGTTTTTTTCCGTTCAAGTGCTTGAAAGATGTGATGAGCTTGGTACTGCAAGGCGCGGCCTTGGAACCGTTCTGCTGGGAATCTTCCATGTACAGCCTGTTTCCCTCCCCCTTTTTAAGGAAGCCTCCCCCCATTCAAGGATGCCGCTTCTGGACTTTCCCGTTTCCGAGGATGTGCAGGATTGCCGGATTATGTCTGTACGCAACCATGAGTAGCACAATGACGCTGGATGTTCGGACGTCTGGTGCATAGTGAGTGCTCGAAGGACAAGGCAAATGCGACTTGGGAACATGCTCGGCGCTCACCGTTGAACAGCACTTGCTGCAGCCTCTCTTATGTTCGAGCAGGGAAATGAATTCGAGGTTGTCCATTGTGCGCGCAGTGCCGCTGAAAATGGCAAGTGCGAGCCTGCAATAGCTGGAGCCTTGGGTACTGCGTAGGCTAGGCCCGGCTAGGCGGCTACGGCCATTTGCTTACAACGGGGGTTGGCGAGATCGCTGACGAGAAACAGGTTGGCCAGCTTGTGGGCGAGTTCCTGAAATGCACGGTGGGAAGCTGAGTTTATAAGCATTCAAGGCTAGCGGAAAGCCCCAGTCCTTTCGGCTGAATGCGGCTCGAGTGTGAGCTCACGTGTCTCTGGTGTAGTTGATGCTTCCTCGGAAAGGCGTATCGAAACAGTCCGATCGCAAGTGGAAGTCTTCCGGAGGTTACGATGATGCTGAAGCTTCCGGATGATCCGAAGGAGCATGGTCCGGCGAATTTATCCCAGCTGCAGGCTGCGAGACTTCTTACAGAGACTCGCGCAGATGGTCTTTGTGGGTGGCCTTTCTCCAGGCACAAGCCTCTGCAATGGCTGGGGTCATCAAAAAGGCAGGTGTCTTTGTGGACTGCGCACCCCACAGGGCATGGGATTATCGCAACCTTTGCAGGCGGGCCGAAACGTCCTCTCGAAGCAGGACGTCCTCAATCTGGTCCAGGCTGACAGCGGCAGGTGCGGACTTCAAGCTCTTGAGACGTACACGCCAGGTCCTGAAAACATTGTTAGAACGAGTCCAGATCGAGAACGAGCCTGCCAGCGTCCAAGTCAGACAGAGGTGTTGTCCATGCTAAGCATCACTTTGTCTCTGGACAGTGGAATGCTCGAAAGGCTGAAGCGGCGCCCAAGAAAAAGAACCAGGGAAAGGCAAGTCACCAACTATTGGATGTTGCTTCACCCTCTCGGATCCAGTCCGAGCCTTTGAAGGCGGATGACAGCGACGATGAGGAGAGTGACTCCGATGAAGGTGCCTGCCTACACAGTACAAGCTTACTCTGGACAGGAGGGTGGAAGGGTTGCAGCCAGGCAGCGTGAGCCGCCAGTCTGTCCGCTTCAGCCTGGTCGACGTTGCCGGAGCGCTGATGCGGGCTAGCCGTGAAGAATTCGCAGAGGCGCGGCACAGGTGTTGTATAGATTCCGGTAGCACTTTCAAGAGACAGGTGGGCCTCTCAATCTTCATGGGGCCTTCGCCTGATCGGGTTTAGCTTTGGCTGTCACGGGGGTGGACAACTTCACCGACTTCAGTCACCAGACTTTGAACGCAGACCTTGATTTCCAAGGCTAGTCCGTGATCTGCTCCAGAAGGGCAGCGATAGCGAGAGAGGCGGGGACCGGGGCTTTGCGGTGGTGCCGACTCATCCGCTGCGAGCCTTGAATGGGACTTTCCGAAAATACTTTGGGGTCCTTATAATATGAGCTTGCTATTCAGGGCACTATATTAGGGTCCCCCCATGTTCGGAAACCCCCAAATGGCCTTAGACCAGGTCTTGCCCTGTACATTGCCGATGAGGTGGTTGCGTGCTTGGGAGAGTTGCGGTCTCAGTCATCCCAACGGTTTTGCATGTCTGGCGTGGGTCCATCCTCAAAGCCATGTGACGAAAAGGCTAACTGCAAAAGAGCAACGTCGCTATACCTGCTTGTTTTGTTGAACATGTGTCGGCCTGGATACATAATGGCATAGGCTCGGCAGTTTTCGGAAATGTGAAGAGACATAGCTTATGCTAGGTCTCAAGAACTAGAACTGTTCTTGGTTCGAGCGGGGAAGGTTGGATGCAGTGATTCCTAAAAATCGAGGCCTTGCTGTGCAGGTAGGGCTAATTTAGTCGTTGTGTCCCGGATCTTAGGTTGAGTGTGCCCTACTGGAACACCTTCATGGAGCACGCATGCCGGGCCTTCGGATGTGCCGACTCGGGATCGGGATGATGGCTTGCCACTGTCGAGTCATAATGCTGTGCAAGGCAACAGCATCACTGACAAGACCGCAGTCATCCGACAGCATCTGCCTGAGTACTGAGTAGGGGAGACTGCCAGCTCCGGCAGCATTTCAAGCTTTGCTGAAGACAACAGGGTCCTGCTTATGGCTCTGCAGAGAATGCGCGTCCTACCTGGCTGCTTTGCTCAAGGGCCCATCTGACAGGTGGCCTGCGGCACCGGATGGGCCGCCAAGGCTGCTTGTGGAGGGCCGACCCCGCTTTATTGAAGTTCGCCTGGGGCGCTGCCCAGGCTTGATGTTGTGGCGTGGCTTGCATGCCCTGATCATCCCAGCCCTCACTGGCCTGGTGGTCGCTGACCTTCCGGTGCACTGCCTCCATCATGAGATCATTGGTAATTGGAAGTTCAGCCTGGGGCGGCTAAGCAGCCAGAGGTCCTCTTGTGGCCATCTTCGCCCAGACTCGCAAGATCTGCAACCGGGGCGAGCGGAGCACATCGGGAAGGTTGACAAGGAGTTCCTGATCTCCCTGAAAGACCCGAATGTCGCAGAGGCTGACGAACACCAGCCAGGCACCTGGACGATGATCTATGATGAGGGCTTTGAAGTGAGCATTGGCAACCACAACTTCTTTGCATTCTCCAACTTCACCTTCGGGGAGGATGGCCACGCACAGCATCTGAAACACAACATCTCCCACTGCCATGAAACCATGGTTGGCTGGTACCATAGCAAGGACCGAGAACAGTTCGGTTGCTACTATGCCAGCAAGGTCTTGTCCGATGAAGAGATGCGGGCGTCCAGTTCCAAGCAGGAAGTTCCTCTTACTCCCAGGGAGAAGCCCAAGACCCTCTTCTATCAGACCAAACTGTCTCATCACCATCAGCGGCAGGCACTGAGCAGCTTTAATTTAGACCTCCGGGATCTAAACTCATACTAACTTATGCACATGAGGATGCGTCGAGACAGACAAGCGGAGCAGTCGTCCCTGTTGTTCTTGCCGTTTCAGGTGGTTAACAACCTCACGGAGATGATCCAACAGCAGTCTTTGGGATGGAGCGCGCGACCGATGGAGAAGTGGACTGGCTTGTCAATGCTGCAGGTGAACAGCTATGCTGGCATCAAGCGCGAGAATCGCGTAGGGCAGATGCTGCGACAGCACGGCGCATCCTACAGGAGCCTAGAAAAGAAGCGAGCAAGGAGCTTTTTGCAAACCGGAAGCTCCCTTCGGGCCACTCTCCCGAAGCTGCCAGACTCCTGGGACTGGTCGGATGTGAATGGGCGCAGCTTCCTCGAGCCTGTCATGGACCAGTCCGAGTGTGGAAGTTGCTATGTGGCCTCTGCCATGCGCATGCTGACGGCCCGACACAAGATCAACCAAAACGACACCAATGTGCTGCCCTGGCATTCTGGCAGCAATGCAACCGTCTTCCTCCACTCCCCTCCCTTCCCTCCCTTCCCCTCGCCCTCGCATAGCCACACTGGACACCGTCACGGATTGTTAACAATGCTGCTAAAGTGTGTAGGGCTGGCATATGCTGGCGTCACATAGACCGTTTTTGACATTGACATTCAGCAGTGGAAGTTGGGCAGTGGATTCGTGTTGCTGTATAGCAGGTTGGAGTTCACGGCCTCCCCACCCCAGCATAGCGGACTTTCGCACTTTTTACGAGGTCAATTTCATTTCCGCTGCAGTGCTCTGAGTACAACCAGGGCTGCAAGGGAGGCTTCTGGGCTTGCAGCGAGCGTTCCGAAGCGAGCTTGCGCATTTTGTTGCTTTTGTGCTCCTTGGGGTGGCTATAGCTGCAGGCTACGGCATTCTTGCTGCGAAGTGGTCGCAGGAAGTTGGCTTGCTGCCTGCGAACTGCATGAGGCACGCTGCAGTTCAGTTCCTCGCACTTTGATCCTCCGGTCCTGTGTGCGTGGTTGCCTCAGGTACACGACGGAAGGGAGTTGCGAGCTCGAGTGCGATCTGAAGGCTCTGGGTGGCAAGCGCTACCGTGCTGACAACCATCGATACGTCGGATCTTATTACGGAGAACATGGTGACAAGGTGAACGAAATCAAATCAGAGCTCTTTCATCATGGGCCTTTGATTCTCGGTATCGAGCCTGGGGAAGATTTCATGTGGTACTCTGACGGCATCTACCGTTCCCCGAGTGCTTCGAGCGGGGCAAGCAAGTCTGAATGGGAGAGAGTTGACCATGCCGTGCTGCTGGTCGGCTACGGTGAGGAGGGTGGACAAAAGTACTGGAAACTGCAGAACAGTTGGGGCGAGGACTGGGGCGAGAAGGGCTTCTTCCGCATAGTTATGGGAGTCCCGGCGTAGAACGGATGGCAGCTTTCAGGAGTCATTCTGTGCCAAACAAAAATACTCCACATGCTGCGTAAGTGCAGAACTCAGGCGAGAATGATTCTGGCATTGAGTCCATTCCTGAAGCTGCAGATGTGGTCGTGGATGAGCAGGCAGGAAAACAAGTGGACAGCTTCTTCGCACAGCATCTCGGCTATGCCTCACATGTTCCTGAATCAGTTTCTTTCTAGTATTAAGTTAAGTATGAAGTAAAGTCAACTTGGTCCGACTCTGTGGTTTCCGAGAAGCTTCGGGCCTATAAAGCCATGTTCTGGTTTCCCGTAACGCCGAGTGCCCAAGTCATGTGACATCAAGATCAAGTTGCAGTATGGTTCATGTTCAACCGAAGGGGCAAGCCCGAAACCGAAGAGGCCTAAGGGCCTAAAGCTAGATCTCAAACCAGAATCTTATTTGCCTCGGGAAGCAGGTGCTGAACAAAAGCTAAATCAACCAAGGACCAAAGCACTACGGCCCAAAGAACCCAACCAGGCTCATATATGCACTGTATGTATGTGTATGTGTATGTATGTATGTATGTATGAATGAATGAATGCATGCATGAGACTATGTAACTCTGTGTGTATCGGTATGTCTGTATGCGTGTGTGTGTGTGTGCATGTGTGTTTGTACGTTCTCATGTATCCATGCGCGCATGTATGCAAGTATGTATGCATGCATGTGCGCATGTATGTGTGTGTGTATGCAAATATGTATGTTTGTATGTATTTATGTATGTATGTTTGTTCGTTTGTATGTAAGTCTGTCTGCCTGTCCGTCTGTATGTACGTAAGCATGTATGCATGTATGTAAGTATGTAAGTATGTAAGTATGTAAGTATGCATGTATGTATGTATGTATGTATGTATGCATGTACGTATGTATGTATGTATGTATGTATGTATGTATGTATGTATGTGTGCGTGTGCGTGTATGCACGTATGTATGTATGTATGTATGTATGTATGTATGTACGTACGTATGTATGTATGTATGTATGTTGGATGAATGTTGTGTATGTATGTTCTGTGTGTTTATACTATATGTGTGTGTGTATGTATTTGTATATGTATTGTTATATGTATATGTATATATATATATGCATATGCATATGCATAT